TTCACTGGTTCCGGGTTTACTAGCGGTTGAGGGTTTAGGCTTAGCGGTTCTGAATTGAGATTGTGTCATGAGACCCCCTGCAGCTGTAGTGCATAGTCTAGAAGTTTCGAGCCTGGATAGATTAAGAAGCTGCAGAGCTGTTACTGGCAAGGCAGCCTTAGGAACAGATGGAGCTGCACGGCTTTACATTAGTCTGATTCAAACTTGGGCATCATGTTGAATGAGACCAACTAGAGGCATGTACACAGCTTCTTTACAAACTGGGGCGTATGGGCTTCTATGATAGTTTGAGTGAGGATAGCCAAGCCACAAAACATCCCAACGTCATCCCCGGAAAGTGTTTTGGAACCTTGCAAATGCCCATAGAAATTCCCTGGAATAGTGTAACCTCTTCAGAGGGCGTATTCAAAACCTACTGGGGGTTCGAAGGGAATAGGGGAATATGTTAGATAGGGCTTACGTAGGGATTATATTCCCTTGTTCCCTACTAAGCACCAGTGACCCTAAACCCTAAACCCTAAACCCCATTCCAAGCGAGCCAGGAAAGCTGCGGTTTGGATCGAGTTGTGTGTGCACGAGGCAAGCAGGTATTTGGATCGTTGACAAGTTGATCCATAGCCTGCACGCCTAAAAGGGGGTCATTTAGGGTTTAGGTTTACGCTGAAGGGCTTATGGGATCATATTAGGATTATGTAGGTGACTAGTATAGAGGTTATGAAGAGGGATACTTAGAGTTTAGATTACAGCTCAGTTGATCCTTCCCTCGTGGTCCTTCGTGTCTCATGGGTTTATAGATTACAACGAAGGCATACAGCGAGATGTATATATGTGGAAAGTGAGGTAGAAGGCAACATTCGGGTTCCTGAACCCTAAACCCTAAACCGATGACTCTTTTGGCGAGGTTCCCAGCAGTTTCGCCAAAGTACGAGCTGCAAGTTACAAAGCAGACATTTCCCAAAGGGTCCAAGTACCCAATAATTAGGCCCCTTTAAAGGGGATATATAGGGGTATGTAGGGATATATAGGGTTTAGGGTCCAAGTGCCCAATAGTTAGGTACTTGGGTCTAGGGTAATAGTAATTATAGTACAGGTTTTGGGCAGGTATATGATTATTAGGTACTTGGACCCTTATAGGGTTTAGTGTCACATTATGGCTCTCACGTTGAACTATCCAAGCCTTCATTGTTGACCAGGTATTGCTAAACAAATATTTTTGTTGTTGGGGCGCGTGGCCGCCTGCAAATCTTACAGGATTGAAGGCTAAAACATTTCCCAACCCTAAACCCTAAACCCTAAATCCCAAGCCCTCTTGATTAGGGTTTAGGGTTTTAGGGTGCTGCGTCCCAATCCTAACTTGAAAACTGTATTGCACACAGCCAGGACACCAGCTATTCATCTACCTGGATCCTATAGTAAGTTCTTGACCCTCTAGACACCCCCCTAAACCCTAAACCCCCTCTAGAAGCTTGATACCCAAGCACAACATTCCTAAGCCCCAAGTGACAGTATTGTGGGCATCCTTGTCACCAGCCCCCCAAACCCTACAGTAAACCCTAAACATTGACCTTTTCGGGAATTTCCATAATTTTTGGGGCCCCAACATAGACCCCCAAACACTAGAATTATGATCATGGTGCCCCAAAAGGAGATACACCATGATACACCTGATGTTGGGAAACCCCCCATTATAACCCTAAAACCTTAAGCACCTGGGCCTGGCTCCCTAGCAAAGCGCATCATCAGAGTGTGACCGCGGCAGGTTCACAATCCTCCGCTGCCGGGAGAGTTCAAGGATGGGCTGGGCTTAGGGCTTAGGACTCGCGCTTCAAATAGTACGGCTTTTGGTTTCCTACTCCCGGGGAACCAAGTCTGTACATAACATCTAGTTTGGCTCCTAATGTGCAAAATTATTCCAACGATGGGCAAATCGGATCCCTAGGGGGTATACTAGCGCCAATAGGGAATTTAAAGCTACATGTTTACAACTATCCCCAGAAGCAACCAGACAAGGTGCTGTACCTGTTGGGGTTTTGGGTTAAACACTAAACCCTAAACTCCTGGCAACTTTCACACAAGCCGGTCAGCCCAACAAATACCGGCTTGCGGAAACTGGCTTCTCAGCCTCACGGCCACTCTCGTACTGGGCCAGCCGCCGAAAAAGGACGAGAACTCTTCTCGTCTTGGTGACGCGGTCGAGTGTTCTCCTATATGCTCGAAGTGTACGTCGAGACATTTGAGGGTCTCTTTCATGATGCTATGCGGAGAGTGTTCAAGATGACGGAAAGTGCGGAGTAGTATGGGGGAAGGGGTCTTTGTGCCCAAAGGTCTTCCAAGTTGACACGAGAAAAGCGTTCTTTATCTGAAGGGTCTGAATTCAGATTCCAAAGATATTATTCTGAATGGTACTTGGGATCTAAACCCCAATATTTGCGTACTTGACCCTTGGTTCTTAGTATGGAATAAAGGTAAAATCCCTAAATACTCTCCATATGATTTATTCCCGTATTCCCTACTTAGAACCAGTAAGTAGGGCTATCCAACGCGATGCTTTATACCCCACGTCGAATGCAGTTCTTCTTGCAGAGACCCCTAATCCCAAAACCTCTAAATCCATAATCCCAAAACCCTAAGCCCTAATTCCTAACCCTAGTCCAAATACCGCCATCAGTTTCGTGAGGACACGAGAAGCTGTCTAGAATTCGCAGAGCTGCGGAAGAGCCAGGCAGGACTCATGTGGCTTAGGACTTGTTGGGTTATAGCTCTAAACCCTAAACCCTAAACCATCCTTACAAGGATGGCAGCCTACAGTCAGTGAATCAGTTCTTGCCCAGGCCAAGTCTAACGTGACTTGCTAGCTTGCGCCATGCAGCGTTAAATCCAGGAGGGCACCATGAATTGAAGACTGGGGGCGCTCTTTAAACCAGGAGTTTAGCCTGCTTGTGGGGTCTCCTGAACATTGGGGTAATCTGGGGACCTCAAGGACATATATACATATATATATATATACATATGTGTATATAGATATACAACAAGCAGTTTCTAAGGTTTCCTCCATAGATCACACGGGCAGCATTTTCAACAATATCCTTGTTTGACCACTTGACCACCAGTGGCTTCTTGTCAGGAGTCCTACCCCGCTGTTCTCTCATCATCCGAACCGGGCTTACAGCGAGAGGGCTTTTTGATCAAGGGTTCTCTTTGCCTGTGCAACTGGCACAGGCCCAGTATGTTGCAGAATACGGTTAGCCCTTGTGGACAAACTCAAAAAAATGTGATGATGCTGAAGCTGCCTTCAATTGAGCTTGTAAATCGTGCTTATGCCACCGCGGCTGGTCTTACATCCCAGACACCCTCACTCTTAAAACCCTAAAACCTCAGACTCCTAAACCCTAAAACCTTGAAATCCTAAACGCTAAAACCTTAAAGTCTCAAGCCCCAACACCTTAAACTCCTAACCCTGAAGCCTTAAAATCCTAAACCCAAGAATCCAAAAACTAAAGCCCTAAAACCTTGCATTCCTAAACCCTGAAACCTTAAATCCTAAACCCCGCAAAGCCTGGCCCAAGCCAGAATCGTTTTAGAGCCGTCAGAGCAGCCCGCACTGGTTTCCACTCTCCCGACTGACGTTACGTTGGCGCTCCGTGAAATATGAAGCTTGGCCTAAAACCCTAAACTTCCGGGTCTTAGTAGGGAATACGGGAAGATAATGCCTATAGAACTCTGTATAATATACTCCCTCGGTCCCTACTAGCCCTAAACACTGAACCCTAGAGAGATACATTGATTATATATATATATATGTTTGTTGTTTTTCTCTTAGTCCCTGCTAGGCCCATTAAGACTTTGCCCTGGACAGTCGAGTCGAAGCTTTGCAAAAAACCTTAAACCTTTGCAAAAAGCAGTAGCCAGTACCATTAAATCCTGGACCTCAAGTATTTTTAGAGTTTCAGTGTTCAGGGTTTAGGGCTTGCCCCCCCAAAAAAATCCAACACCTGAAGCTTTGCGCCAAATCCTGACTCTCAAGTTTTGCTCCAATCCTTGAAGCTTTCATATGTGCCCGAATCTGCCCTGAACCTGAACACAACTTTGTGGAGATGCTAGTTCACTTTCAAGAGGAATATGGGTAACTATTATACGTAGGACCCAAGGGTTTTCTAAACCCGCCACACTTACTCTGGTTTTGCAACGTCGGGTGTTTAGGGTTTAGCGTTTGGAGTTTAATGTAAACCCCCAATTATCAAACCCCCTGCTATTTTAAAGGCCTTCATAATTAGGATCCCTGTTATACTTCCTAGTAAGGGGAGGAGGTTGATTAATCAGGGGTCTACCCTAAACCCTGAACCCTACCGCTATAGTAGTTTAACCATGTTCTTTTTCATTATCCCTATATAGCTCCCATATTATACCCATTGCCACCCTTTTAGGGTTTGGGGTTTGAAGTTTTATGAGCTTGGAGCAGCTCCCCTCCCTGTTTTTAGGGTTTAATCAAGGACTCCTATGTAGTTGTTTTTCGGGGGTGCTATGTATTTTTGGTAAGGTGCTTAAGATTTACCCAAGAAGGAACGACATAGGAGGGTCTGGATAGGTTTGGCATTTGGGGCTATGAATTCGGATAGAAACTGGAATTTTGAAAAGGGACTGTAGGCGAATTCGCAGGATGACACAGTTTACCAGCTAGGTCTAGGTTAGGCGCTGCCGCCTCCTCCAGTAGCAGTTACGAAGGTCATAAGTACTAATCTATTACAGGTTGTTACTGGGTTGGGCCAACACCTGACGCGTAGGTTGGGAATATGGGGTTTTGGGTTTACGCGCAATGTTTCTTAGTATTCTACTGTTTACCTTACAGACTATACAGCCATAAGCTTCTTGTTTCTTGAAAGTAGAGCTGTATCCCCAAACCCTAGACCCTAACTCTTTGACCCTAAACCTTAATTCTTTGACCCTAAGCCCTAAAACCCTAGAACCCTAATGTTACTAGGTCCCCTTAGCCTCCAAATAAGGAAGCGACCTGCTGAAGACGCAGCGGAAGAGGAGCCTGCTCAGAAGCTTGCTTGAGCTCATATTATGAGCTGTTGTCTAAACTCCTTAAAAGGGGGCATATAGGGTATAGGGTTTAGGGTTTAGGGTATATAGGGGGTTTTATAGGGGAGCCCTATACGGGTTGTTAAGGGGGATACTAGGAGTTTAGACTTTTGCTCATATGGTGGTTTCCCAAAGTTAGGGTTTCCCCTCATATGGACATTTCCCCAAAATGATGGGTACCTTTAAAGGGGTTATAGGTGATATATAGGGGCATATAGGAATCTTTAGGGTTCAGGGTTTAGAGTGTCCAAAGTTGGGGGTGCCTTTTTTGAAGTCTTCATAGTAAGGATTTGAATGGATTTAAGTATGTCAGGGTTTATATTGGGGTCCCTATTTATGGGAAACTACGACGCAATTCCTATATAACCGTATATGTATATATATATACACATACATATACAGTTATGTGTATGTGTGTATATATATATACGCAGTAGTTCCCAGTCATTTCACATTTTCTTTTACATTTGATTATTCATTACTCGTGTCATGCAAGCACCAGTAAGAGGCTTTTATATGGATAGTTTCAGGGTTTCATGTGGACAACTTTATTTTTGAGTGTAGCATGAAACCCAATGTACACCAACATGTTCCCCAATGGAAGGATGTAGGTGCAGTTACTGGACACCTAGAACTCCCCCACCCTTCCTGAACCCTAAACCCTAAACCCAATCCCCAAACCTGAAGCTCCAATAAGGAAGAAGCCTGCAGACGCAAGCGCCTGAGCTGCGTTCAACGGACACGCGGACTAGGTAAGAACATGGCAACTACCCATGCTATGGTAGTCATAAGGTTTGATTCTGGGTGTGGTAACCAAAATTCCCCTTCTCGGGATTTCAGCGGGAATGGTTCAGAAAAAAGACTGTGGTGCCATGCAACAGTTCCGTTTCAGTTTCAGGGCTTATGGCTCAGCAGGAAATGGAGACTGGGGATTGCATATTGGGACTGCAATAGGGATCCGTGCCCCAATTGATGTCTAAGGATCGAGAAGTACATTCTACCTGTGGGAAACTCTGAAAAAATAGACTGAGTAAGCGACAGTTCCTTGTAGCTAACGCTGTAACTAATCGGCTCGTAGGCACATCGCAACATATTAAGATGCCTTCCTGGTATCCACAACACCCTCGATGCAAGGCCGGTCTCGAGGCCTTCAATCCCTAGCGACCTGATTTTGCATGAGTTATTTCAACGGTGAGCCCTTATCAAGTCAGGGGTTAGGTTGAGCGGGGTTTGGCGCTTACGCTGTTATTTTTAGAGCTCTATGGGTTATCAAAAGGAGCATACGAGGAAGGGCTTCTAAGTAAGTGTTTGAACCTGTGGCGAGCCCCCTGAGCCCCAGACTCTAAGCGTCTAGGACTTGGCGCTTAGGGTAGGGTTTTATGGCGTCGATTGGTCGAAGTAAGTAGGAAGGAGTCCTAGCTATCCCTGGTAAAGTTGCTGCTCGTTGAAGCTCCAGATGATTAGCACAGATAGCGCCAATACCGGGGTGGGCGGGGTTCTTGTTCGGCCGGAGCAAGACGCCCCCCCACCCCCCTTTTGGTCCGAACAAGAAGCCCACCCCGCTTTCTTGTTCGGCCAAAAAATAAGAAGGCCGTACGTACGTACGTACGTATGTATGTATGTATGTGATGGAATGTCATGGCATGTGATGTAATGCAATGTACTGTGATGTGATGCAATGTACTGTAACGCATTGTAATGCAATGCCATGTAATACATGCATGCATACATATATATATATATGTATACATTTATGTATATATCTGTACATATATAGATATATATGTTCTTCTGTCTTCATGTCTGGACAAACGGGCTCCTTTTGGGCAGGTTGTTGTATTGATTTTTGGGAAGTTCCATTAAGTTCCCAGATTTAGTGGAGGTAGTCATGTGGAGTGCCCTTGTTGTCAGAGCTTGCACGCTCCAAACAAATACGGACGAACCCCACCAAGAGAGCAGAAAGCCCGCTTCCTTCACCACACAAAAAGCTAAACCTTGAACCCCTAAACTCTAAACCCTGCCACTTTCTTGGTTCCACGTTTGTGGGAGGGTGCCATTTGCACCAGGCCTGTTCCCACAGGTTCCCAGACAAATAAGGGATTCCACATATATTCCATACATATATATGTATGTATATATATATAATTTTGGGTTTAGGATACATATATAGATATACATATATATATATACATATATACATAGGGCAGTTTGCTTTAATAGGGGACCCCAAAATAGACCCCAAAATATGATCATCCTGAT